CAATGCAAGATTTGGATTCAAAGAGTCTTATATTGTAAAGATATCTTAATCTAAGACATCCATTAGATGGAAAGTGATTCAAAGCATTGATCTTGACATTTGCTTCCACTAATCCCATATATTCATAAACACCCACAACCAAAAGAGCTCTTTTATATGAAAGAAAAAATTGGAGTACTTTCATCTTGATAAAGACATGCTGCTGTTTAATAAAGCACTAACCTCATAACATACGGCAACAATTGGTTTTGGTTCCTCCATGCTACGAACATGCCTTTGAAACATGATGCTTCCACATTCCTAATTCTCCAACTACTCCACAAAGAAATTCTAATAACTCGAAATTAATTCGTGTTTAGCAATGTTTATTTCTTCCTGAACCAATCACCACTTTTCCCACCACTTTTATGCTCAAGTCGAACATCTGTAATTCGTATATCTTTCGATGCAGCTTTGCACATATCGTACACTGTTAAACCAGCAACAGTTACAGCAGTCAAAGCTTCCATCTCAACCCCTGTCTTACCCGTGCATGCAGCTTCACCTTCTATTTCGACGCTAAAGTCCTCAGCATTCAACCTCAAATCAACTCGAACATGAGTTAGAACAATGTTGTGACATAAAGGGATGAGGCTACTAGTGTGCTTAGCTCCGCTAATGCCAGCAATTTTAGCCACTCCAAGGACATCTCCCTTCGCCAACTGGTTGGATAAAACCAAATCAAACACTTGTTGTCCCAGAAGAACCTTGCAACTAGCAATGGCGTTTCTCTTGCTACTTTCTTTGGGAGAGACATCCACCATTTGAGCTTCCCCTGTGCTGCCAACGTGAGTAAGGCGAGGTTCTTGATTCATGACAAAATCCTTACTGTTGGACTCATCAAACTGAGTTTTTCCCACAGCGTCTTCATTTGCAGAGCCAGAAAATCCATTGGAAAGAGGTCCACCAAACACTGATTCTATTTCCTGAAAAGAAAATGAGTTTGTACGGATACAAAGATCATCCACTGGTTTATTATAATCATCATTTCTCACTCATTGTACGCCGAGACATGTAATTTATATAAAAAGTACCTTGTTGAGCTCGGCAATGGCGCCCCCTAGATCATGGCCGGTTTTGCTGCTAAACAGTCTTCGTGAGTGAGGAAATCCCACCGCAAGCCAACGGCGAAACATGACGCAGAGATTCAAATTCTAATTCTAATTCAATTTTTCCGCGAATTCACGGCCGAATAACCAGTTCTTCGTTGAGACATTTTGACGAACATGTTCAAGTCACGGACCAAAGCAAGCAAGACAAGTATACAAACTAATATATATATATATATGTAATGTATGCACATAAACAGGCGTATTTCCTCTCTATGTATATATATCTAATTCATGTATCCATGTGCAGTCTGCAGAGATCATAAGACAGGCGGAACAAAAGGACATCACAACGTAAATTCGTAACTTACCATTTAAAGGATTGCTCTCCCAGATTCCAAGGGTGCACGACGAGGGAGACAATTGCCTAGCTTGCGATAGTTAAACGGTACCGTTTCATAGTATTTTCGTTTTTAACAATTTTATTAATTTAACCCCATAATTATGAATTTTATTTTAATTAAGTTTCAAATAACTTTTTGTTATTACAAATAAACTTATAAAATTATATAAATATGCAATTTTTTTCATTAAATATTCATGAGCCAATTAAATTCTTGACCATTCATAATCCAGAAATAAAGAAGAGTTTCACATTAGATCAATCAACTATGACCAACAAAACTTAAACCAGTCCTTACAGTCATATAATCTCATCACAGCAGCAAATACTAAGCATTACTGCAAAAGCTTCACTGCCTTGAACAGAAACCTTATTTCCATTACATGTATTGGGAAAGGCTGTTGTGGAATGGTGTTTACCAAGAGATTTTCGCATATAACGTACAGTTACATTCTAAAAATTGTGTTAAAAGATCATTGTGTTCGTCAGCCGCCTATCTATCTTTGAGTTCTTGCTCAAACTGGTACAATTTTTCACGAACGGGCTGTAGAAAGAGCTTCAGATCCTTGTTGATCCGCGCCTTATCTTCCTGCAAAAGCTCCTTCTCTTCGCTAATTCGCACTTCCATCTGCAAATGGAAGACATATATAGATTTAGTTAGTAGAAGTCATTTGCAATTGCTTTTGGGGTTAATGGTGCATAAGCTTTATATATATATATATATATATACACACTACTTGGCTCTGAAAAAACTGAACATCTTCCACCCCCAAAAGAAAGTAGAAGCCACTTTTAGTGTTGGCAACTTTGTTGGTTAATAGTAATGTTCATGACATTAACATGTTAGACCTCAACAAGAGCTTACTGCCAATTTTGACTGGAACTACCTTCAAATCTACACAAGAAAAGTAATACATATAGTACAAATTGATCTCCAGATTAACCGAGTCTTCTGGCCCTATAACCCATTTTCCATTGTCTCTTTCTTAGGAATAGATAGTTAAGAAAGAAAGTTTTCATGATTCCCTGTAACATGAAGTAGCCAATCTATAGACCCATATTCAAGTAAACATTTTTCTAGGTTAGCAATAGGCATTTCACAAATTTATTGAAAGGATTAAATTTAAGACTGATCACGAGACTGTCATATGCGACAGTATGAAATCAGCCCTGCCCAACTTAAACCTGCACTGCACCAAAACATAGACATAGATGAAGTCACTTCCCAGTGTAAATATATAAATTATACCTGCAGGTCATCCAGCTCACCAAAAGAGAATTCTAGTATATCAATGTGGCTCTTCACGACCTTATTCTCGTCTCCAATAATCCATTCCCCTAATTTCATTAAACTAGGCCTCAATCAAAATGAACAAACATATTGAAAGGAGGCAAAAGCATTTTAGAATGAAGATGGTTACCTTTGATTTTCAATGTCAGCTCATAAGTATAGCCAACTCGTTTCTTGCTTCGTACGGTCACCAAGAATGCCTGCTCAGTCACGAAATTACCATCAACCCAGACAGGAAAAGAAAAGGAAAAAATATACTATTGCCACTGAGAATGACTAAAAACCTTGGAAACCACAAATTTTCTGAAAATAGTTGGATGACAAAAAAATCAAGGTATTGTGGTTAACTTATATGCCTTATATGAATTTCCGGGATGCTCCAGTTACAGGATTTCATATGACAACCAAAACCAGGCAATTGTGGAGGTTATAATTACCTTCTGCACAGGGGTTAAAAGACATCAACCTACTGCCATGCACAAGATGCAGAACCTTGACATTCTCATCCATCAGACTTTCCATCATTTCTGAAAAGTTTATACTCCTTATATAGATGTCCCAATTCCAAGCAAATACTACATATATATCAGATAAACACTATTTTAACGCTTAATAACTGTTTGAATTGAACCTGTATATTTTTTTATGCATACCTGTGATATTTTTTCAATAACGTGATTTGCATTCAATTTTGGCAAAATGCAGCTTATGATCACATATATTTGCGTGTGAATATCAGGACATAAGTTTATCTCTTATCTTCTGCTGCTGTTAGCATTATAGTTGTTTCACCTAGTGTGTTATATTGCAACAATTTTTTTTTTTTTGAATATTTAACTTCCACCAGATCCAAGTTTTCACGTCTGCAAAAAGCACATTGGCATTTCTTGTCATTTTGTTTATGATCTCCCATGTAAGGGACTCTTCAGGGTTCTCTTTGTTTACCAAACCACTAGATCAATATCACCACCAAGGGTCTCCCCAACTCCCATTTGTGTTTTCCCTTCCCATGAAATGATGTAAAATCCCTTTGACAGCAACAGCTTGAGGAGGCTGTTGAAAACATGTTCTATAGATACACAAAAACGTAAATATATATATAGATATGGTAGTACTTTTCTGCTTCTATATTTGCTAGATTAACACATACATATGCCTGCTATTTTAATTTGCACTTAGCCTTATTCTTCCAAGACCTTTCATATGCACATCTGCCATGTGCAAAAATGAAATAGAAACTATTTGGTGGGATAAACGATGATGCCCTTCCAGACACTATGCTTGTAACTATTCACCATTAGATTCTAGTAAACACAAGAAATAACAACATGCAACCGCATACCTAATGGTACATTTAAATAAAGCAACTAATGGAAGACATATAAGAAAAAGGAAAACAACCTCAATCCTTATTAACATTCGGAAAGAAGAAGGTGAAGTTGTTGCTTCCTATAAAAATGTATTTTATCTATGATAATAATAAGGACACCGCATGATGTTAATATTAGCCTTTTATGAGTAGTAATACTCACATCACCAACACATTTGGTTACATCTGAAATTTCTGCCTTGCCATCCGAGAACTCCAAAGAGCCAACAGATACAAGCAGCTCCTGCAACAAAGGTAAAATCATATAAATGCTGAAATACACAGACAGGAATGGACTATTTATAGCAGATACATCTATAAGGGCCAATATTCAAGCCACTAGGAATCCTACACAAAGAATAGTTTACAGATCCACACTGCTACGTCCTTACATCTCCTTATAAGTAAGAACTAAATATGATTACTACCATGTAAAAGAATAAACCTTTATATTGAGCATGTCCTTTTTAAGTATGAACTCGTTAAGGTAAGGTTACTACCATGTAAAGAACAAACCTTTATTCTATCACTTGCCCACTTATTTAGGTTTTTCTCCTCCCAGGTTCCAGCCTACAAAAATTTCAAACAAAAGAGAAAAATACATACAGTCAGTGTAGAGCACAATGGCCATGGCCGACAACAATATCACATCCTCTAGCACAGAGCACAAGTAAAAGCAAACCCACATCTTGTTTCATTCACCATCAATAAACAAACAGGAATCCAAACACAAATATCAAGTCAATCACTCAACCCAATCAATTTGTTTGATCTTTACAGCCATTTATCAACATTCAAGAACGCAATTACCACTCAATACAAATCACCTGATTCCATATAAGCAAAGAAAATCTTACCTTATTCCAGACGGAGCCCAAGGTTGCTTGCTGCGTCTGGTTGCAGACAATATCTTCAGGCGTGAGCTTGCGAGGAACCGGCAGAGGAGCCGCGTCGGCTGTCGCTTCTCGCACCCAGTACGTGTAAGATGCTCCTTCCTTCTGCTTCTCTCCTCCATTCTCCATCTTCCCTATTCACCTTTTTTTCCCAATTTCAGGCAACAATTAAAAAAAAAAAACAAAAGAAAGAAACGCAAATTACCAAGAATATAGCTCCTCCAGTCAACAATAATAAATTTGCAGGGTTAACAAGAATGGAGATCCAAGAAATGGAGGTTCTACTCGGAAGAAGAACCGAGAATGAATGACAAAAACGACGACGTATAGGTAAAGCAAATGGTTTTAGGGAGGAGTTTGCAAAATCTCTCCGGAAGGTTCTGGTAGTTGCAGAAGAAATGAAAGAAAGAAAAAGAAAGCCAGCCCTACAACCCATAATTAAAATATAATTAATTAATTAATTAAATTTTAATTGCAAATACCTAATCACCAATCACCATGTCTCACATTTTATTGAGGGTTAAATATGTCTAATGAAAAATTAATTAATAAAATATTCATTTTAATAAATGTTTCATTAAGTATAGTATTTATCTTTTACCAAGCAGAGTATATTAATTTTTTATAAAATAAGTTTTTCAAAAATAAAAATCATATTTATATATACTAAACGGTATACGTTTTTTTTTTTTGAAGTGTATAATTTTGACTTACCAAAAAATATAGTTGTACTAGTGGAGAAGTGGAGGTTATTCTGGAAACTTCCTTTTCTGGAGCTGATGTAAGTTCAAGTTTTAAAATAGGAAAGTAGACCAAGCACGTAACAGCTATGGACCTTCCAACGTGTCTTTCCTGTTTCTTCAACTTAACAACCGACATTTTTTCCCTTCTTTTTTTTTTTTTCCAGGTACGAGTAAAGATAAAAATAAAATAAAAATTAAAAAATCATATGTACTAAAACAAGAGACACTCATTATATCGTTAGTAAAGATATGTTGGAAATCATTCGAAAGTTAAACATAAAAATAAAAATCCACCAGTAAAAAAAAATTAGTATTTATCAATCAATCAATATATTTATTCTTTTCACGATATACGTGTCAGATTGGAACATATCAATTTTACAATAGCAAGTATTTTAATGCAAGAACGAAGACGACATACGCATTAATACCATAACCCTCCTTAGTAAATAACTGTACTATTAGATTGCTATCTGTTTTTTTATTTTTTATTTTTTATTTCAAATAATTATTATCATCTATTTATATTATCATTTCAAATTTAAATTTTACATTTTATTGTAAATTATTTTTTGGGAGGGAGTTTTTAAGCTATTATAAATTAGGTTCTTGATTTTTTTAAAAACAAATTTCTAATTATTAATGTGAATTATTTGTCTTCAATTAGATTTAAAAAATATTGTACATTAAACCATGATAAACAATACAATAATACGATGATTAAAATTCTCGTATTCCATTTGAAAGTCATAAGTTAAAATCTCATCATCGACAAAGAAACAGGATCAGAATTAGAAGAAAAAAAAAAGGCTCCCATCCGAAAATTACACTCATTAAGCTTATGTCAACCAGTAAAATTTACCTGCCTCAAAAGTTCTTGAGAAGTTCGCAACAAGGCATGATTTTTTTGTGAAGGTCAGTCCAGAGAAGCTCTATCTCTGCAGGGCTGCTGCGTTTGAAGCATCTACTGCTTTTCATCTAATTTTCTCTTTCGAGAACCACTCAGTGATTTCTTAGCACTAGCCCAATTTTTCAATGAAGCTGCACTTCTCATAAACGAGCAAGTTTCACCAATGCTCGTATTTCCACTAAACGGCGTCTTTGATGCAGGTTCCTGCTCTCTGTTGACTAATGGAGCTGAAGCCTCGTCATTGCAGCCCACAACAGTCTCTTGACTATTTTCTGATGTATGCTGTACAGTATTTTCCTCGGTGGAGATTCCTAGAGCTGGAGAATCATTGACACTAGGTTGAATGTTACCTTGATTCACAAAATCAGTCAGCTTGTTGGAATTGAAATTTAAAACGTCCACATTGCTCAGTCCTATTTGCTCATGCTTCTCAAAGGTAGCATCTGGTAGAATTTGAGTTATACTGAATGAAGTATCCTTCTCTTTGAGTAACTGAGTCCATGATAATTTATGGAGCCATGAAGAACCTCTCCCTGATTTATTTGAAGCTGCATCTGATTTGGCAGGCTGAGCTTCTGCACCTCCCTCTGCTCTCTCTGATTCACATGATTGGCCTCCCACATCCTTATCCCTAGCTGAAATCTGTATCTCGCTGTCATAGGATTTAGGTGCACTAGGAGTATCAGATTCGGATCTAAACTGGTCTCCTTTTACACAAGCAGTGCCCGTGAATGAGCCTGAGACACTGAATGATTCACTAGCTGAGTGCTTGGTTCTGAGATCTGGTTCAGTGGGTTGACCTCCTGAGATTATTTCTGTTCCAATCCCATCTGCATTAATTTGTAAATCCCCCTCATTATCAGGGTCAGCAGGCTTCACTCCATTTGTTCCACTTTCTTTGTGGACAACTATTTTCCTCTTTTTCTTAGGAGGGGCAATATCTACCTGCTCCTTGACCAAATCGTGGGTTGGCCCATCTGATTTATTCAAAATTACATCTAGCTTTTTGGTTTGATCCTCTGAATGCTCTGCTACTAAATCTGCTTTGCTTGATCGGCCTTTCAAGTTCTTATTCCTTTCTACATTCAGGTTGTTATTGTTAGCAAGGTTAGATCCACTTAGCTTTTCTTGGTTAGAAGAAATTCCAGACAAGAGATTGGAGAGACTGAATGCACTGTTGCTCTCCCCTCCAACAAGTTTTTTCCATGAAGACTTCTGAGACCACGAATAACTGCTAGTTGACTGTTTATTACCCAATTCGGGTTCAATGTATTGTGAACTGAAAATGTTTTTTGTTCCCGAAGCTCCTGAATTTCCCTTTCCTCCAGCTTCAGCAGGAATGGATTCATTTCTTCTGTTTTCCTCTTGTATAATTGCTTTCTTTCTCTTGCCAGGAAGAATGTTGTTTCTTTGCCTCTCGAACATGTCTTCCGACCATCCATCTCTAGAAATTTGTCTCTCATTGAAAATTGATTTCTGCATTTGGAACAGTGAAGAGACACAAATTATATCTCAAAAAATGCAGAGCAAAATTTAAGTCCGAAAACCAAAAGCACCAAACCAGTTTATATTATATTGTACCTGCTTTGTTGAGATTGTTTCCTTCTCCCAGGTTCCTACCAAAGAAGGTTTATTATTTCCTCCAGAAACCACATTAATTATGAGGTTATCTTCATCTACTTCAAGATCCATTTCATTCACATCAGGGAGTGGATCTTCAATTGGTTTGACAGTGTTGTTTTCTTCTTTAGCCAGTCCAGCAATGCCATGCAAAATGGTTAAATCATTTTCCCTCTGAAAGAGCTTGTTCATCACTGAGTTCATCACATCAATCTCTTCCTTATTCATCACAACATCCTGTGACTCCAGACTACATGTATTCCTTTCTTTTGTAGCAACCAAAGGGCCAGAATGTACTTCGCAATCACAGAAAAATGTGGGGAGTGCAGGAACTTCTACGCGCTGGAAACTGTATTTGTGTTTTCCAGTCCCACTGAAAGGCAATGACTTCACCTGCAAGTCAGATTCATGGATGAGCATATGATAAACTCAATTTCAGGCAGTTGTGTATCCAGATATTTTGGGTCAGCAATTATTTCCTCTGATTTTTCACATTTCAGTTACACTACCATCCCTCTTATCTCAAAAGGTTACCTTTTGTAACTTAGGAAAGAAAAACTTTAGCTGCTTCTTCTCTGACTTCAAAGTCTCTTTGGGTTTTTCTGAAGAGGGAACATTTTTAATTGTGTCAACACTGGTATTGGGTGAAATGCTTGCCAGTTTAGCATCTTCTTTCCATTCCCGTCTCAAGCGTGAAAGATAATCTTCTTTAGCTTTCTCAAGCTTCAGCCTTCCCCCCTTCCAGACACATCCATTATACTGTGCAAAAAAAAATTAAATGAGTTTGATCAAACAAGTCCGGAAACGAAAAAGAGAGTTCCCCATCAAGCGCCTCAAAAAGCCAGGACAATTCTAACCAGCCAGATGGGCGAAGAGATGACGATACCCAGAAAAATAAAGAACTCTATAACATGCATACAGCATTGTTTTCCTCGAAGTGCAATGGACATGGATATCATAGCCAAGCACAAAGTACATACTAAATACATGTATATAAGGAATGCTAAAACTTTAAGAGGTAAACAAATGGAAACCTTTGAGAACAGAATTTTGATTGTTAGTTTAAGGCATCACACCAATCATTCTCAATATCTAAAATTCGAGGTTGCAAGCAATCCTTCTCTTCTCCTTTCTGCACTAAAGCTATTTTTGGAACAAATTACTTTCTGTAATTTATTTGGAATTACACGCTTATTTCAACAACGAGTATAATCAGGATACTAAGTTTTGATTTATATAAATTCCACTTGAAATTGTTCTGCAGCTCGAATGGATCAAAAGAACAAAGATAATTTTTTAACTGTTTACTCCAAATCTTAAACAGGCCTTTCTCCCTGTTGCTCATCAAAACTGAAATGGATAATGTTGGGAACCACAGATTAAATTAATCTCCTCGGAAGAAAAATCTTCAGGGGAGGAATAACACAGTAGCTTCTGGATATTCTCATGGCGGAATCCATAATCATGTACATGATAGATAGAGAAAAATTTAAAAAAAAAAGTAAAAGTAAAAGGTGCTAACCGTGGAGAAGAGCTTGGTGAGGGACTTATCAGAGGATGGCAAGAAGTCAATGTGGGCAAAACTGCGGCCTTTGGTTCTAACGATATCGACGCCATTGACGGCGCCCATAGACGTAAAAATCTTGCGCAGATCATCACTGGTCACGCTCTCGCCCAATCCTCCAACATATACCCTAATCTTTGTTGCTGCTGCTGTTAGGTTTCCTGCTTCTTCGTCTCCCATCTCTCTCTCTCTCTCTCTCTCTTGCTAGCTACTGTCCCTATCCGTCCTGTTCGCAGGCGCAGAGCTGCTTGTTTATGGATTTCGGTTTACCTTCCGAATTCCCTTTTTATTTGACCCGGCCCGAATACTTATGAATTAGAAATGGTAAATTAGGAAATATTTAATACATAATTAATTTAATTTTTTGAAAAAATAATATTTAATTTTAAGATAATTTTATATATAATTAATTTTTTTGTCAAATTTTATTTTATCTATTATAATAAGATATAATAAAATTAAAGCATATATATTTATTTTAAGACAATTTTATCTACAATTTAAAATAAATATTTTCTAATTTATTTATTGACATATACAAATATGTAGTTATAAAATTAAAAATAAAAATTAAATTTTGTTATATTTTATATTATTCTATAAAATTATAATATCTTTTACATTATTAATTAAATTCTTATAATTTTTTTTTGAGACTGAATTATTATTTGTAATTATATGCAAAAAAATTGTTAGAATTCCCTTGGCGGCCATGGTCGCTTTGCTCAATCTTCAAAGAGCGCGGGATTGCAGACTCCAGAGAGAAGCATCCATTTTAACTAATTTGGGAAGCAAATCGAAGCGGGAGAGTAATTTGAAAGAAAAATGCCTGTCAAGGAGCTCTGCAGAAACTTTCAGCGCGGCAGGTACTTTCTTCTTCCTCTTCTTCTTCGACAAGAGCTGCTTCTGCTACTACTACTCTTAATTCCTAATGCAATATGTAATTTTAGATAAATTTTTTTTCTCTTTGTTCATTTCCTTTGGGATTGAGTTTGTTGAATGGACTTCTAATTTAGGGTTTTACAACACGAACATACTGCTTCAAGTTTGCTTCTACGAGCTCTTTGAGTTTCATCCTATCAATTATCGTAGTACTATTTAAATTCATGTCTTAGACATATTCAAATATACTTTTCTTTGTTATATACTTGGATTGAGAGTTAATTTCATAATTCTTGAATCTTGAGCTTTGAGAGATGATATTAAATAAGTCTGATTTTTAAGGTGTCGAGTGACCTTAAGTCCCTCTTTAACTTTCCGATGAAGGGAACTGGATATGTTCATCGATGTCTTCTGTTAGTTGTGCCCAGAATGCACTGGTAGAAGAAGATGCAACACTAATGACCTATTCTATAAAGTAAAATTTGAACCAAATTCTACCTTACTGTATTTGATTCACTATTGAAAACCTTTAGTAGTTAATGGAATTGGAACTTCCTTATTAATGTAGGAGAGGTATGAATCCCAATTTCTCTGTGAATGATTACACTGGGATCTTGTCTTTATTATTGTCTTTGTTTTATTTTTTCCAGTTTTCCAAATTGTGTTGATATAGAGATATTATATTTTGTGAGATCTTGCTGCTGGATTTACTGTATTATTGGTTTACCTTGTTTCTTTTTGCAAATTGCATTTTTGGTTTATGTAATTGCCACTGCACACTTTTTCTTTTCAAGTTTAATATCATTTCAATTCTTCTTCCAGCTGTCAGTATGGTGCAAGGTGTAAATTTCTTCATGTGACTCCGCAACAGCCGAAGGCTAATGGCTCTGGTTTTGGCATGCAAAGTAGCTTACCTCAACAGCAAAAGCCTAATCCATTTGGATTTGGCACGCAAAGTAGCTCGCCTCAACAGCAAAAGCCTAATCCATTTGGATTTGGCTCGCAAAGTAGCTCACCTCAGCTGCAAAAGCCTAATCCTTTTGGATTTGGTGTTCAAAGCAACTCTCAGTCAAAAGGACCTAATAACTTTGGGAACAAACCAAACCAGTTCAAGGTTAATTTGCCATCTAAGACTTTTCCCTCAGTTTGGACCAAGAATTTTGTTGTTTAAATATATTATGCTATTGTGGGGGGTCTGATATAAGGAGGAAAGCTATATCTTAAAGAATTTGATCAGTGAAACCTACAGAGTGTGACTGTATAGCCAGAAAAATAGGGCTTATGGTGCACCAGGCGCATACATAATAGTTTCCTGAGTATTTTAGTTTACTTTTATTTTTTAAAAAATGACTGTAATTTACTTGTTAATCAGCCTTTTGAAAACAAATGGAGCCGTTTCTCTCCAATACCAGGTGGTGGTGGCCCCCATCCACGTCAGGCTGATGGTCAGCCGCAGCCACAGTCGGCAAATCATAAGTGAGTACATGTCCAAAGGTTTTGCATCTTTCTAGTTCTAACCACATAGCTAGATATCTTTTTGGATTCATTTATTTTATTCATGACTTGAATATTATGTCTGACAGAAGCTGAATTGTTGTATGTGAAGTTGTATGGACCCTGAAACTTGCAAACGTCTAATTGCCGAAGATTTTGAGAATGAGAGACCACTTTGGAAGCTTACGTGCTACAGTCACTGGAAAAGGTATCTTTTGCTAATTGCATCACTTGTTGGGATCTCAAAATATTCAGAAGTTTTTTTTTTTTTTTTTCGTTTTTGCTTTTTAATTTTCCATTTCTGTATTTTTATGGTTATTTACTTGCCTTTAATTTTTGCAACAATAAATGATATGCTCTGAACCTTTTTTAAACAGAAATTCGGAAATATTTAACAAATGCTAGAGAGAAAAGAGTATATGTATTATCGATCATAAAAATATTTAATTAGCTTTTCTATCCATTTTGCTAAATTTTGTACATATGGGATGATGCAAGCCGTATGTTATCTAATTATGCATGCTGATCTTGTATAATTTAAGGTTCGTACAAAAAATAAAATTAATAAGAATGTTTGCAAAACATGAGTAAGGGAATTGCCAGTGATTTGAGTTCCCTCTTGTGGACTAGTCAAGTAGAAAGAATCCTTGTTTTATTTGGTCATGATGATAAACTGCATGAGTGTGTTTTAAATTGAGTTATTTGTTGGCAGTGCTCCTTGTGACATTGTTGGTGATATTAGCTACGAAGAGTTGCGGGCAGCAGCATATGATGATGGTAAACGTGGTCTGAGCTTGCAGTCAATTGTAAGGGAATCTGAGATACAATATTTTCAAATTGTTCATGTGTGTGCATCAGTTGTCCATACATGTGTTGCCAAATTTCTGGTGATTCTTTGTACATTCTGTTATACTATTAGAACTATGGTTGGCATTGATGATACACTTCATACTGATAGTAGCAAATGAAGAAGTTGCTGCATTTGCCGAGTTAATAAGACATCATTTGCAGATTGAGAGAGAGAGGAGTTTGCTCAGTTCCAAATTAGTTGACTTTGATAATCTTCTTCGTAATCCCTACCGAGGACCTGCAAGCTCTGTCGTCCCAAGCCCAAGTGCAATTCCAGAGAATACTTCTAATGTATTCTCTCCAGCTTCTCAGAATAGTTTCCCTTCTTCAGTCTCCAGTTTCGGCCAATCAGGTGTATCACCTAATACTGGCTTCGGAATAAGGCAAGAATAATTCTTCATCTTTGAATTTGCACTTGGTCTTCTTCTTGAAAATTTTATCTGTTGTTTACGCACATACTTTTGGCAATACCACTTTTGCTAAAGGGCACTGTTAACTCTTTCCAAATCCTGTGTCTTAGCTACCTTCCGGCCTTTCACTAACTTGACAAGTAATATTTTGATTTTTTCTCCTCAGGCCCACTGCACCTGCAAATAGTTTCCCCATGCAACCTGTTTCCTTCCAGAATTTTGGCCAGGCTCATGGTGCCTTTGGGATTAACAATTTGCCATCTGGACATGCTGGTATGTTTTTGAAGGTTCTGTTATTTGTGCTTCTCATGTCCATGTGCTGATGAACATTTAACTGATAATTTGGTCGGTCTATTTGGCACCCAAGTTCCTACCCAGACATTTGGAAGTTCCATTATGCCCAACATGCCAGGCATCACCAACAATGGCACAATAAGTGCTCAAAGTAACCAGTTCTCTGCTTCAGCAGAGTCGATGCAAAATCCAAAGTCATCTAGTGATCAGCTATCTTTTGGGTCCAGCATGTCTAGTTTGTCTTCCAATATTGCAGTTGGCCAGGCAACTAGAGATGTTCAATCACTGTAAGTTGGAAAGGCTATTTTGGACTCAAGTAAAACCTTATAAGAGGTTTCAACCCTTAAAAAAATTTAATGACAAAATTGCACGAGTTTTTCTGGTTACAAAATTTTCAATTTTCTGCAGAAGTAATTTGCAAAAGGTTGCTGCTTCTGGAGATGTGAGTATTTGGTTAAAGGAAAAGTGGAATCCTGGAGAGGTAAAAAATTCGATTTGGTGCAACCTCTGATAGATATCATCTCTATTTGTTTAACTTTCAGGCTCCCAAACATTTATTGCTGTTGTTGAAATCCTACTATAGGGGGGGACAGTTGAATCATATGCTGTCCCAACCTCCAACTCCATCTCGTATCATGTCCTGTGTTTCAACTTCTCTCAGATGCTCCATTCTCAGATGTTGGAGCATCTTATTATAATAAATGATGACGAAAGATTTTCTAACTGATTGGCCAATGTAAACAAAATGCTGCACGGTACGGCAAACTTGATGACAGATCTCTTTCACTTTCTGTCGGGATGATTGAAAGTTATTTACTGAGATCCTTTTTCATGTCCATCCTTTATTTTTTCATTTTGGACCTCAATGCAAGGACCTGATATTAAAGTGGATGAACTAATTTCTTATTTTTCGCATTTCTGCTCTGCAGATTCCAGAAGAAGCCCCTCCAGATGCATTTGTCTAGTGTGGGATACCTTGTAGATTCATGTCAAAACATCACCGCAGTTAACAATCAGATCGCTAATTGGTTATCATTCATTTGGCATGCACTAGAACTGCGTCTTTATGCAGTGCCTGGCTTATGGGAATGTGTAGGTTTCTTTATCGCACTCATAGCATTTGATATGTGCTTATAAAGATGCTGCAGACTGCAGTATCTACCGTAAGCCGGGTGCGTTTTATGCCGCCGGCTGGATGATCGAAATATAGATTTTTACCCAGGTAAAATTATATTGCTCGCCGGCAATTGGCGCAGGAGCTTTATAGACTTCCATATGCATAAAGTTATATATACACATACAAGATTATGTTTTACTTTCTATAGGTGCTTTACACAACTGGTTTTAGTTTTCTTTCCAAATATTCTTCATGGAACCCTTTTGCTCTTTATACTAAATATTCAAAATCTCTTCATGAGTATATACTTAGTGGTCAAACTGAATATTTTACTACAATACAAAGTATGAATTGTTGTGACATCTGCCTGACGTCATTTATTGTTTACTATTTTCTTTCCTACATTATGAAAAGATAGTAAAAAATTTAAGAACTTGTCCGATAAATTATTAAATTAGTTTTAAAAATTTAGCACTTGTTATAATTCGAGTTTTAAAAATTCAATTTTTTTTTAATTTTTTAATAAAAAATTTTAAAATTATTAAACTATATTCAGTTAATATAATTTAAAATTTTAAAAAATTTAAAAAAAAAAAATTAAACTTGAAGAAAAAAAATTTATGGAACTAAGTGATTTTTTTTATAAAAAAAAAAAAAAATTAATTAATTCCACTTGTTTGGTTTTAAGTTTTTATCTGAAAAATAGAATATTCATGACATTAATATAATACTTTGATATATATTATGTTTAGTTAAATATATTTTTCAAAAGTTTAAATTACAATAGTAATATATATTTAAATATATATATAATAAATTTTTTTAAAAGAATATCAATATATTCCCAGATTTTTCAATAAGTTCGGATTCTAAAAATTGGAAACCAAACAAACGAATTAAGAACGAATGCTCATCCTTCTGCCCATGGGCCTCTCCTCGGCTCTCGGAGTAGACTGCCCAGCGTGGTTAATAAAACACGCGGGGAAATCGGAGTCCGGCGATAATGAGCGCGTTGTTGCACGCACCCGCTGTCGGATCTCTTTATAATTCGTCCAAGTTGAAGTCAAAGCCCAGCGTCACTTCCCGTTCCTCTTCTTCTTCTTCTTCTTCCAATTCCATGACCTCCCCTGCTGTCCGGATAGCGGTTGTTGGAGATGTCGTAAGTTTCTTCGTCTGCAATTCGTTCCTTCTTTTTATTTCTTCTTAATGTTCTGATTTTTTTTTGGTAAAGCATGATCACTGGAATCTTGAAGAAGATACGAAGGCACTTCAGTTGTTGAAGGTGCGTGCAATTCATCTGTCTTCTTCTCTGTATCTCTGGCTCTTGTTTCCTCTATGTAATACATACATAAATACATAAATACATACAACATACATACATACGTATCATAAACGTGTGCGTCTGTTCACGCACACAGACAAGCACACACGTAGGGCTTCACTATGCTTTTAAATTGTCGCATTGGCATCTATCGGAAGAAGAGCAATGGTGTGCTAGAAACCTTCATTTGGCAGCCTATAGGAGTCTGTTCATCCAATCGAAAGAAATTATTGTAACAGTTAATATGAATATTGAAAGGTATCTGTTTGGAAAAGTGTTGAGGAGATTCAGATGAAGGAGAGACAACATTGTGGAAAATATAACAGGGAAATGATAGCGTTAATTATAGAAAAGAAACAGTTTAAGGCATTACCTGCTGAATCT